TGGGTATGGGTCCGGTGAGCAGTTCGGTTCGTCGATGCTCGGGTCTAGTTTTCTCAGTTCACATATATTTGGCTTCCTTGTTTTAGTTTGTAGATCCGTTCATTTATGGGTTATGTTTCGGGCTTGTTATGGATGTGTTAAGTTTCAGCAGTTATAAATATTTATCTTTTGCATGTTTTCTATCACAACCTTTTCAAATTTTAGAATTGAATACAAAGAGAAGAGTTTGGGAATCCTAGTTATAATCATAGAAAGACAAATGTAAATTCTTACAAGTGTGTTATTGAAATTTGGGATATACTTGAAGATATCAAAGACTCTAGTGATTCTTTAGACGTTAGGTGTGATTTGATAGGGGCAACATTAGCATTCACTAGAAAGTCCACTTCAAATGGCATAAAAGGTATCAAGACCCCTAGTTCATGAATGATATGGAGGTGCAAGTAAAAATAAGGGATGAATAAACAACCCAAAGTGGTCATATTAACCCTTTAGGTTTCTGAGCACAACTCCAAGATTACGTCTTTTTCGTGCCCTGTACTGGAGAACCGGATATTGTGACGGAAACCAGTGATCATGCTCGAGTAAGAATACAAGAATATAATATCTCAAACAAGGACACAATTGACATTCTTCCTGGCAATCAATTCTTGATAAGAAAGGAAGAGGTTGGAAAGGCGTAGCTAGGACTCCCGGAATACGGAACCCCTAGAAAGCTTAATGCACCCTGTGACTTACTCTGCTGTTATCCGAGCTTAAAGATCATAAAAGTGTGATCAACCCTGTGAGACTCCTTTGTTGAACAATAGAAATTCTAAAACAAGAGGGAGAGGGAAAAGTCTTTTTGAAAGACAAACCAAGGCCCTTTATAAGGAAAACCAAAAAGCACAAGCAACATAGTTGTTTGACAGTGGAACCATTACAAAAAAACAACAACTATTTAGCCACGTGAAAACCATATCACTAACAAAAATGTCACATCGTAACAAGCAATTTAGCGATGTGACGAAACATATCACAAGAATGCAAATCACGATTTATTTGCGATGTGAGAAACACTATGCAACTTTGCTACGTAAAAATCACATTGCAACTTTGGCATGTTAAAATCAAATTACAACTTGTCTGAATTACTACCACCATGTGACAGTTTTAGGATCAGGTTCACGGTTCATTATTCAAGCTCACAGATTTGGAACATATCAATCTGTATGGAACACACCTCGTACCTCATCTCCTAGAATAATTTCAAGTTATAATTTATGACAACATGGGAGCTGGTACCACTAACCCAGATCATTTGGATTTTGAACGTTACTCAACGTTAGAAGGTTATTTTTATGATTTATATGCAATCTTACAAGAACTTATAGTTGATTCTTGTATCTTTGTTGGTCATTTGATTTCTGCTATGATTAGAATCGTTGCATCAGTTTCTCGTCCTGGTCTATTTGCCAAAATCACCATGGTTTAACGTTAGTTTAACCTTTTCTTCATTGAATGGTTATATTTCTAGAAAATGAAGAAAAATAAGAAAATGTTTTGTGAAAATGAAGAGGGGAAAATGGGAGAAAGAGGAAAGAAATGAAGTAAAAAGAAGAAGAAGAAGAAGAAGAAGAAGAAGATAGCCACGTGATTTTCACATCACAAATAAATTTTTGAAAATTTTAAAATCCCCCCAAATGAAAAGACATTGTAACATGTGTAAGCCTGATTATTCAAATGATTTTCACTTCACAATGTTTCTTTTTCACGACGTGATTTTCACGTGGCAAAAACACATCGCTAGAAACCATTTTTCTTGTAGTGTGCTTTGCGACGAGGATGTCACATCGCAACATACCTTTTTAGTGGTGTATTTTTCACGTGGCAATATCACATCACTGGAGATTAGTTTTCTTGTAGTGAACAGTTGCAAGAAGTGAAAAATGGTTTCACACGTCAAGGAGACACGTAAGAAAAAAGCTAAACTAGGTTTTCTAAGAAAAAACATCATGGGCAGCATTTAATGCCACACACGCTTCTTTCCCATTAAAGGATTAAATTTCTCTAGTTGATTGATATTTTGACATCTCAAAAATTGATTGACTTATAATATAACACTCGTGTGACACCTCGAGGTACACACAGAGCTCCCCTCACGATGTGCCTACTCTTGAGGGACTTGCCACTAACTAAAGGACTTGTCCCTAACTGAGGGACCCCCTCATCTCTGGAACTTATTTAGAAGTAATGAAAGTGAAGCTTAATCACTTCGCCTTTTACATGTTCTCATGCTTGAAGAGAGTGTGCAGTGATATATTTATAAAAGACCTGTAGGGGCAACATAAGGACCTGCCTATGTTGGGTGCCCACCTAAAGGTATAACGCATAGGCATGATTTCCACTCACTAAATGGCTTGCCCTTATAGGAAAATGGGGATGATGACGTGTATATAGACTCTAACAACATATGGAAGAAGTCACGGTCACGGTTCCTTGAGAAGTAGGCAGTCAGTGGAGTCATTGGATTGCTTAATCAATATGGGTTGATTTCTACTTCTTAAGAAACCATAAATCAAGGTTCATAAGCCTTTATAAATACTCCAACCTATGGGTTGAAGAGACAATCTGATATTCACCTAAAATACCCCTGTAACAAAGCTTCTCATCTTCATGAGTTTGATGTAACCCCACAAAGTCACCTATAAAACAACACTTCTCACCCTCATAAAATTGTCCTAACATTCTGAAATACTAAAACCTCAAATAACATGTAGTTACTACTACAGAAAACACATATAATGACAGTTGCGAAATACATATAATGACAGTTGCACGTCATTTGTTTGGTAGCATGTGATTATATGTATGCTAGTTTCCACAACGGGCGTGTGACTATGGTTATAAGCCAAATAACACGCTACCTATCACAACGGTTATATTAAACAACCATGGTGAAATCACTTGCTTTTATATATATATTTCTGATTTTATACATATTCCCATTTTTTTACATGTGTTTTTGTGAATCGTATCAGACTAGAAATAACAACACACATTTGTTAATCGTATCATACCAAGAATTGTATTATATCAAAGACAATGATTAACATATACATCATATCATCTAGTTAAATAAACACAATACCCTTTAATTAATTTTACTCTCAAACAATTGCATTCCATTATTATTGTATTATTTTGACTCACACAATAACATAAACAATTGGCGTGCACAATTGATACATTGACTCAGACACTTGCTAAATTAAGGCATACCAACTAAGTGGTACATTGATTTATAATACATGAAACTAAGGCATGCCAACTAGGTGGTATATTGATTTATCAAGTTAAATTTTTACCAGTAACATACACCCATATTAGCCTGGTATCATACTTTGACCCATTACAATCTATTGGATACATGAAGAGTGGTCTTGAATCTTCATGTCTAGTTAAATTCATGTAGATCTCAAGGTCTTTATCTGATTCAGAATCAATTACATCCAGATTCATTAGCTCCTTCACAATATCCTCTACCTTCCATGTCATTTCAGGGTTAAGATGCTTGATAAGAATCTTCTTATAGCTTGTTCCACCAGACGGTTCAACAATAATAATGTGATCCCTGACAACTTCAGTTTCCTTGAATTTATTCAACCATAACTCCAGCATATCAATAACCTCCTTTGAAGTCTCAATCTCTTGGACAAGCTTTATCCCACTAACTTGATCTTGATTCATGTTGAGAGAAGAATATGAAATATGAGAGAATTATCTGAAATCTAAGAGTATGATAAGTCTAGATGGCGTCAAAGTGGTCGTAGGGAAGAGAAACTCTTTTTCAAAACCTAAACCTAAAGCATATCCAAACCAACAACAAAACATGTGAAACTGAAGTAAATCATGTGAAACATACAACAACATATAACAACAACAAAAAACCCATAAACTATCGAACAAGAAGAAAATAATGTAAAAATCATGTGAAACATAACAACAACATATACGAAAACGAGAAAATAAGGAGGAAGAAGAATACTTTTATGTATGAAAAACAAGATTGAGGCTATATCGTAGAATGAGAAAGCTAATGGTGAAAAAGAAGAGACAAAATGTGTGTTAGGGTTATGTTGTGAGAGATACGGCGATACTACTAAGAAGTGAGAGCTAATTCGCTTATATATGGGTAAACAATTTCACCACGGTTGTATTCAAAAACTGTGATGAAATGTAATGTCTTTCACAACACTTGACATTACAAACCGTGGTGATAGGTAATTTAATTTTAATATGTATATCATATTATAAGGATAATGATCATTGTAACAAAAAAGCAAAAAATTGTTGGAGCTGGAATTCCAACTCTATCACTCCATGAATGTATAATCATGATTGATCGTTTTGACCGTAATACAATGTCTTTTTGTAAATATAAAAAAAAAAAACGCAACTAAAAATGAGGTATTACCATAGTTAATGTCAGACCGTCGTAAGTTAGTGTTATCAAAGTTATATTTTATAGCATTGTCGGTATATAATTGCTACATATCTATACTTTTAATATATATATATATATATATATATATATATATATATATATATATATATATATATATATATATATATATATATATATATATATATATATATATATATATATATATATAAAAGAAATATTTAGAATTTATCATGGACCACTTAGGAGAACTCACCTTGAAATAAAAGTGTAATAAATTATGCGAGGCAATTAAGAAAGTAAGTGAGCGAAAAAAGTACATCACAAAATCTGCATTTTCTTGAATGATTGTGGTCCATGCAAGCAAACAAAATTTATGACAACATTGGTTTTAGCATTTGCGATAAAAACAGTAAGTAATCTTTATGTTAGTAAAACTTATAGCCATTGGTATCGTCGAGCTTTGCACATTATATAATCATCATTACAAAGGATAGTTGGTGCAGTTACAACATACTCCACCATATATTCCAGTCACAACTCATCACAACCTCTAATGGGTCTAGTTTTTTGGTTATGGAGGCTAACTCTTGTCTCTCTTGCTGCCATTCTCTTGTCTCCTCCTAAACACTGTGCATCTCAAAAAGGTAGAAAATATCCATTTATGCAAAATGCTGCATCAGCACCAAGTGTATCATACTATGATTACATCATAGTTGGTGGAGGAACTGCAGGGTGTCCTTTAGCTGCGACACTGTCCCAAAACCATACTGTTTTGTTGCTTGAACGTGGTGGATCACCTTATGGAAACCCTAATATAACAAATTTAAGTGCCTTTGGTGTTCCACTTGCTGATACATCTCCTTCCTCTCCTGCTCAACGGTTTGTTTCTGAAGATGGCGTTATCAACTCAAGAGCTCGTGTTCTCGGCGGTGGATCATGTTTGAATGCAGGTTTCTATACTCGAGCAAGTCCTCAGTACGTAAGGTAACACAAAAGAAGTTATAATATAGTCGGAACTTGTAATATGTATCTGGTTTTACAATTTTTAGTAAATTTTAATAAAATACTATATTTGGTTTTCAGAGAAGTTGGTTGGGATGGAAAACTAGTGAATGAGTCATACAGATGGGTGGAGAGAGTGGTGGCGTTTCAACCTCGTATGCGACAATGGCAATCGGCGGTAAGGGATGGATTGTTGGAAATAGGGGTGTTGCCCTACAATGGTTTTACTTATGATCATCTTTATGGGACTAAGGTTGGAGGTTCAATTTTTGACCAAAATGGTCATAGACATACTGCAGCTGATCTTCTGGAATATGCCAACACAAACACATTTACTCTTGTTTTGCATGCCGTTGTTCATAGGATCTTGTTTACAACTAAAAAAGGTTTTCATCCTAACTTTTTTCAAAATGGTGCGCTGGAATGAGAATGGCTCACTTTTCCCTCAATTTTGCATCGGAGATCAAATGGTTTAGATTACACAGTAATGATGATTTTGTGCATGATATTGAACAGGTGGATCAAATTCAAGGCCAGTTGCACATGGAGTTGTATTCAAAGATGATCATGGAAGAGAACACAGGGCATACTTGAAACATGGGAGTAGAAATGAGATCATAGTGTCAGCTGGAGCACTAGGTAGCCCACAACTTCTAATGTTGAGTGGAATTGGAGCAGCGCATCATCTTAGGGAACACAACATCAGTTTAGTATTGGATCAACCTTTGGTAGGACAAGGAATGTCTGATAACCCAATGAACGCAATTTTTGTCCCGTCTCCTGCTCCCGTGGAGGTCTCCCTCATTGAAGTCGTTGGCATTACCAACTTTGGAAGCTACATTGAAGCTGCTAGCGGTGAAAACTTCAACCGCCGTTCTCGAAGAGACTTCGGAATGTTTTCTCCTAAGGTAATAATATCTTAGAATTTGAATTAGACCTAAATCCAGTCTAACAAACTAGTCGTTTAATCACTGATGCCACAAATGCGCGAATGATTAACTATTTTTTATTGGTCACAAATTACAAATGCAGATTGGGCAATTTTCGAAGTTGCCACCAAAGCAAAGGACCCCAGAGGCTATAGCAAAAGCAATAGAGAGAATGGAGAGCCTAGACCAAGATGCTTTCAAAGGTGGATTCTTTCTAGAAAAAATAATGGGACCAATTTCAAGAGGTCATTTGGAGCTTCAAAACACTGATCCAAATGAGAACCCTATAGTAACCTTTAACTACTTCCAAGATCCAAGAGACTTAGAAATGTGCATACAAGGAATCACCACCATTGAGAGAATAATAGACTCAAAGGCTTTTTCACCATTTAAGTACAATAACATGCCGGTTTCTATGTTGCTTAACATGACAGCGAATTCGCCCGTAAATTTATTGCCTAAACACACAAATACTTCAATGTCCTTGGCACAGTTTTGTAGAGACACTGTCATGACTATATGGCATTATCATGGTGGATGCCAAGTTGGAAGGGTTGTTGATAGTGATTTTAAAGTTCTTGGTGTCGACGCGTTGCGCGTGATAGACGGTTCTACGTTTAATTATTCTCCTGGAACTAATCCTCAAGCAACTGTTATGATGCTTGGAAGGTAAGATATATTGTTACATTATTTTGAGATTTCAAATATCTTATGGTGCTTATTTTTTGTATTTATTTGTTTTGCAGGTATATGGGAGTCAAAATATTGAGAGAGAGACTTGTTGCTCATGAAACCAAATAATGTTGTATAAAGAAATTTTAGTATCTGGTTTATGTTCATCAATTGATGACATAACACATAATCTTATTGGCCTATCATTGTTGCCTACTTGTTATTCGTCTAAATTTGCATATAATGTGTGGTTTTCATGATTGTTATTGTGTGTATGTTGTGCTCCCCTATTTCGCAATACTTTCATGTGATTCTGTTTGCTTGAAAGATATTTGTTTATGTTCCTTCAAGTTAAAAAACAAACAACACAAGTATTTGAGGTTGGATTAACATTTTTCTTGAAAATATATCTAAAATCTCATATCATGAATAGAAGATAAAGATATTTTTCAGAACGTGTTGATTTTTTTTCAAACTTCAACACTCAATCAATGATCACACTAGGTTGATTATTCAATTATTTAGTTGGCCCACAAGTCACTTAAATGCTTGCATATATCGAAGTTTTATCCTTCTGGTTTGTGAATATGCTCATTAATTTTAGAATATTTTTTATATTAATTTAGAAATGATATAAAATACTATAAATTACCATTAAAAATATTATAGAATATTTATAATTCTTTTATAATCTAACATTAATAAGATATCAAATTGATTTTTTTTATAATATTAACAGAGTTTTAAATATAATGGCATTAAACCGAAATCTTGATACATTACTTATTCAAAGCAAGGCATTAAACCAAATGAATTAAGGTGTACACAGACACAACTACAAGAACTTATTCTTCATAGAACTTGAATTATCAATGGTGAAAACAACTTTTTCAATTTTAACATTTTTGTAGTTGTTGTAGAGATATGGTTCTTCACATGAAACAACTTTTCTCGTCTTATGGATTATCACAGTATAACTTCCTTCTAAACATGGTATAAACTCTGCACCATAGCTTCTAATTACTCTTTTCTCCTAAGAGATTAAACAATTCTGCAAATTTTCAATAACATATTTCAATGCATTAGTATAAATCATAACAGATTCAACTCTATTCTATGACTTGCACTTTTTCACTTCTAATTCATAAGTCATAAACACATAACATGTTTAACATTAGAGGTGATCTAGAGTCACTTGAATATTCATCTACTTAGCAAGCAAAACCAAACGTTAAAGAAACATTATACTGATAACATATATCTAAATTAGTAAAATAATTTATTTGAATTTAGTTTAGTTACCTTCAAAGCTTCTTCATCTAAAAAACTCTAGTAAGAATTAATAAATATTATATCAATCACATATACTCTAATAATCTGCATTCTCACATTTGTTAGAGATACACTCTTTTTACTACAGGTAGGATATTCATTATTCGTCATCCCTATCAGTGTAAGATTGTAAATAGAGTTAGAAAAAATTATAAATTTCAAACTGAAAAAAAAACAGACAAAGAAAACAAAAGATATCAGGAAAACATAATAAAAATATAGCATATATAGTAACTAACAACATATCTAATCATTCTTTTAAAATTTTACATAAAGATGTAGTTCTAATTCTAGTGTAAATCACCACTTGTATAATGTAGAGGAAATATAAAGCTATCACCACTTGGAGTCATGAAAAAAGCTTCATTCATTAAATAATTTTCACCTTTTAGCATGCTTTAGTCGTAGGAGTTTTTCACCTCTGTAGCATCATGATACAAAACTAAGCAAATCTACAAAACAAACATATTCTCGACCTGCATACAAACTAAATCATTGTAAAACTAATTTTCACAAAATAATAAAACAACAAAAACCCATGATTCCAAATCTAAAAATATTGATTTTTTTTAACAAAGAAACCCCTAAAATTCAAAAAAAGATTAAACCCGCCATTTAATCACCAAGTAGTATTATAAATGAAAACGAAATTAGGCATGCGATCTAAAATAGCTTTGAGATCTAGAAAATAGAATGTTAGATGTAAGTATCACAAAACCGGTGCAAAAAATAATTCATACCTCATAGCTCTGGGATCTTCACAATACGAAAATGAAATCGGGATAGCTCTTGAAAAAGTCAACATAATCAAGTGAGAGAAAGAGAAAGAGAGAGGAAGAAGTGAGAGAGGTGGCCGTTAGGGTTTAAGGAAGAGAGAATAAGATCGTTTCAGCTTCTTTTGTTTTTAAATTTTAAATCAATATAAAATAAAACAACTCCATGTCATCTAATTTAGCACAACTGAAGTACCACGCATACAAAACTTAACAGGATTTGACAAAAATTAATGGACAGGACCAATATGACTAATAGAATGACACTTAAAGGACTTATAATGAACGTTTATTAAATAAGGGACTAAAGTGAAATAATAAATTAAGTTAAAGGACCAAAGGATGCATTAAGCCTATAAATTTTAATGATTGTTTTATTGGAATTCAGGATATTTTTGTAATCTCTTTTAATAACTTTTGGAGATATAGTGAATTAGGCAATTGTTCTCTTTCACATAGTAGATCTTTTGATCGAATTGAGTAAAGAAGTTATTGTGTTTTTTTTTTGTCTTTTATCATCTTCTATCTTGTCATGGATTTGCTTTCACTTTTAGTAGGTAATTGCGTTCTTTTAGGCCATTTATATTTGTTGTCATTGTTCGTTGTCTACACACATCAAATTTATTGGTGTGTGAAATTCATAATAATTCCTCTGAAGTGCTTTGAATTATCCTACTAGTTTTTTTACAACAAGTAGCGCTTATCGTGGGGTAAATGGGGTATTGTTTACAAGTGAGCACCATGAGTAAATGAGGGATCAATAAGTTTTTCGGAGACAGAGACTTTGGGTTGTAGAAAGTATATGCAAGCAATTTTAACTCAAAATAAATGTATTAAAGCATTGAAAAGTGAGGTATTGATGCTTGCATGTCTAACACAAGCAAAGAAGACCGAGATAGTGGATAAGGCTAGGATGTCCATTATATTGTACATCAAGAATAAATTTATAAGGTGTGTCGCCATGGAGAAGACTATGGCTTTGATGTTGACAAAACTTGAATCATTTTATATGACCAAATTTTTTCCTCATAGGTTGTGTTTAAAACAACAAATCTACTCACTTCGAATGGTATGTAACAAATTCATAGTGGAGCAATTAATAGAATTTCACAATATTATTTATGATCTTTAGAATATTGAGGTGAAGATTGATGATGGAAACAAGACTTTACTCTTGTTAAGCTTGTAACCCAAATTCTTTAAGCACTTCAAAAATGGCATTCTTTATGGTAATGAAGGTACTATCACTTTGGATGAAGTCCAGACGGATGTGAGATACAAAGAATTTTCAAAGGTGAAAGATTTAAATATTCATAATAGTGGTGAAGTCCAATTGGCTGTGAAGTCCAATCGATTTTGAAGATTTAATGATCTAGGATTTTTCACTAGAGTTGCACATGAGGTGTTGAAGATTTTATAGCGTGAAATATGTTAGACAACGACAATGATCTAGAATGGGGGTTGAATAGATCACTAATTCCTAAACAGAGTTGGCGATTAAATGAAATTTAGTTTTTTAAAAATTTTATGCGGAAGCGGACGAAGAACTACGGTTGTCTAAACAAACTATTACCGAAAAGATCGAATATGCGATAAACCTAGATAAAATTATCGACTTCGATGAGAAAAATCGAATCAAAATATTTGAACACCAATCAATGAAATTATATTCATTCAAAGTTGTGCAATTTCCAATAACTTGTTAAAAATAAACTCAAATTGAAAACAACCTAAAAGTTTTGTGTTTGATCAATTTGTCGAACACTTGGTGTGCGACACACTCCAAGTGAAATACTACAAGTAATGGTAGTGTAGAACTTTTCCAGTTAAAATCAAAATGATTGTAATGAGCTTTCAAAAATATTTGTCAACACTACATTATACCAGAATTTTACTGAGCAATTTGATTGAACACAAATGTTAAAATTCAGAAATGGAAAAATATCAAAAGAGAGAACAACACCAAATTTGTTGAGGCAGTTCTCCCGTCATCCTTGCTTGGGGTACGTCCACCCTCAACTCTAAAAATAGAATTGAGATCTATATAAACCTGTTGCAAATGTTAGTACAAGAGAAGCAATAGTAATCAAACACTCAAGCCTAGTTGTTGATGCTGAAACTATGTCTTCTCTCCCTTGATTCAAGATGAATCAAGTGCCTCGAATGTGTTGAATAAACCTCTGATTCCAGCTACACGTTTAAACCATCCAACGATCTTCAAATCTTTAGCCCGACTGATTTCAATCGCACACAATTCGAACCCAAATCTGCATTCCACAATCCTCTGGTTACTGCTACTAGATTGACAAGACCATTTTTTCTTCAATCACCCTCGCTCGGCTGAATCTGTGAAGAAATGATTTGTGCAACCCCCCCCCCCCAAATCCCAAGATTCTTGGAGGACAAAACCTTACGGTTTTATTCAAGAAAAACCCACTGATCTCTCAACCCAAACCCGATACAATATCCTATGTTTGGATGTTATCACCTTAATGATGCAGAATGATATAAAAAAATGGCTATGTGTAGTTGTTAAGAAAATGCAAGAAAGAGGATGAAAATGATGAGAGAAAAATCAGTGTCAATATTTCGCTTTTCTTGTTAGTATATGAAAGAATGAACCAAAAAGAATATATACATGAAGCTAAGACCAAGTAACAAACATTACAGCCATTTGAAAGTCAAACACATCAGAATAATAAGGTGACACGAGCGAACGATCGACCTAAAGAAATGGGGGCCGACCTGAGCACTCCCACTTTCAAAATTATGCAGAAACTGACTCTATGCATCGACCGGAACAGGTCCATGCGTCGACGCGAACCTGTCCAAACTTGACAAATTGAAAAGCTAACAGTACGAGTCGACCAAAGGGTCGACGCGAGCACTCCTGAGAGCAAAACCTCAAAATTCACTTTGTATGAGTCGACCTAAGCAGGGCTTTAAGTCGACTCAAATGCTCGAAACTTCCAAAAAATTATTTTTAACATGTCTTACTATATCTAAACACAACTGATGCATATC